TTATATAGAGTTGACTGATATTAATGTAAATAATTTCTATGGATATTTTGCATGAATATCTTATTTACTTAAAAAGAAAAATAATGAGATTTTTTTTGTACATTTATATAGGGGGTTGTCGTCTTGTGGCTGCTTCATGCTGCAAAACTAGCATATAAGCATTGAGTCTATGCAAGTTTTGAAGCAATATAGTGAACAATAGAATGTTGATTCCACATAGAATTGAATTAGTTATAATTACTAATTACTAAAATTAACACACCTTAAGCTTATTCAAACAATTGAATTTAATTATTAAAAAATCAAATCCAAACTAAAACTAACAACTAAGTAGAAAATTTATCTAAGAATTCAATCAACTACTAGACCTAGGATTATGATATCCCTCAATGCTTCATTAGAATTGTTTCTCTCTCTTTTATTTCAATAGATTAAGTTGTTGACCTAGAGTTCCAAAATTATTCACAAGTCTTTCTCGAGTTTCTCATAAAAATCACTTCCAATTAAATTACTATATCTCTATGTAAATTAAATTAAAAAAAAGATTAATTAGGTTCATGCTCTAATCTTAGCTATATTTGACACATAGGTATATTTTTATCCTGCATGCAAATCAAATCACCTAATCTACTAAGTGCATTCAAACATACACAATTCCATTCATAGTTTACTCTAAATTTTCTTCATGAAGGTTTAATTTAGGTTTCCAAATCAATCTTATTGGTGGCCAATCAATTAGAAGTATTAAGAATAGAATATAATAAACAACTTAAAATGATTAAACATAAGAAAAAGAGAGATAAATAATTCAAACTACATATTGAGTTCAATCATAGACCTAGATAACTAATTTAGTTCCTCATAATTGCAAAAATCTTCATCAAAAACAGTTTAAACATCAAAACTAAACAAGAAAGTGTAAAGAAACTAAAGAAGAAAGGACTCTATTAATTTTACGATTGTTGATCCACAATTCTCCTTTGAATTCCTTGCTTCTTTCTTAGCTTCAATTCCTCTTTTTTTTTTTTCAAAAAGCTCTTTCTTAATTGATGTTTAATTGCTGCCTAATTGACACTTTAAAGGTGCTCTTGAAAGGTGTTTAAATAGGGCTTAAGTCTATAGCAACATAGAAGTCTAAAAGCACAAGAAGTTTTCTCACTTTCTAGTTTAAATTTTGAATTTTTTTTTACTAATCTTATCAGGGGCCATAGCCTCGAGTTTCCTGGGTCGAAAGCATGATTTTTAATTTGGGGTCCGTGGCCTCGGCGTTAGGGGCTGTGGGCTCAAAGGCCTCTCTTGATTTTCCACGTTTTGCTACACTATTCCAATTTCAACATGATTTTTGACCACCTTCCAAACTAAATTGGGTAAAGCATCAACATAAGAGTTATAGATCTACCTCTTAGCTTTTCAATGGCTTAAGAATCACATTATTTAGACTTCTGTAGTGTGAAATATACTTGAAATACCACAACATTTGCAGTGAAGGTCAGCACATAGAATGCAATCTCCCACTTCCATTAAAGGTCTTTCTTCATTTACAGCTACAAAAGTATAATTTAATCAATAGCAGCTATCTTAAGCACATGTTCATCTATTTAAACACAAAATTAACTAAGATTAAATTGACTCAACTTAATTAACAAAAATTAAATAATTAACTAAAAACACCTATAATGTAAGATAAACTTCATGAACATAACAATTTAATCTCTAAAATTAAGATCAAATAACTCTATATCATAGAGTTATCAGTTCTAAAAAGCAAAAGACTGTTGATTGATCCTCAATGGAAGCTAAATATTGAGCCATTGTAACTCCACTGCAAACTTATGATAGGTCCAACTATCCTTTGTGATAACTTAAGTGCCACATGTACTCATGCAAATCTAGCATTCATATTAGAATGAAGCATCATGCACTAGATTATTATTTTGTCAATGAAAAAGTCTACCAATCACAACTTCAAGTAAGACATATCTCAACTACACAAAAATTTGCCGATGCCCTCATCAAACCGTTGTCCAAATCCAAATTTCATTACCTTTTATCTAAAATTGGCGTTTCTAAATTTCATTTTGCGGGAGCATATTGGACAAAACAAAGTATTACAAGATCAAGGATAACTTGAAGTCATTACAATCAACTAAAGATAAATAGTTGAATCAATCTTCACAGTCATCACAATCAACTAAGGATATATTCATAATAATTCTAATTAAATCTCCATGTGTCTAATTATATCTTGCATTGTTAAAAACTATCTTGTAATATTAATTACTTATAAACAATCATAAATAAATTCTAATTAAATTTTGAGTTGTTAAACTTGAAAAGAACACCAACATGATTCACCATTAAAGGAACCAAACAAGATCAACATCAAATAAAAGTAAACTGAATATAAGATTTAAAGATATAGATATTAAGGATAGTTAAGTGTTTTTCTTGATATTGAAATCCTAACACCCTATCGAATAGCCTATTGAGAAGCGACAACACCAAGGATATTAAAAATCTTCCAAACAACCAACGAATAGCAGACAACACTCTTTATTGTAGTCTTCATTGCCCTTGACACTACCCCAAAATTATAAAACAAAAAATAATCATCACAAAGATTACGTGGAAATCACTCTAGTCTTTATCCCTCTTGTCTGACAGTACTAATTGCCTTATCAATAGGGTAGTTCTTGTCTTTCTACTTAATTTGTCCCATTGTCCCAATGACTTCTCATTTATCACTTTCATATTTATCTATGTGTGTTTTTTTAACTTACATAAATCCATATCATAGAAAATTGGTAAAACTTCTTATGTCTTGTTTTCAATTTTAACAACTCAAAAAGGATTATTGAACACCGGGACTATATACACTACTTCCACGCACGTATATAATTTTGTATGGATCTGCCATGAATTTACTTAAAAATAAAAAAATAATGAATTTTATACCTATCAGCCTTTTGTTAGCTTATAGCTAGTCGCATGCCTTGTAATGCAACATTCAAAGCACAACACTACCAAACCAATAGTTTCAGAAATTTGGAAACCACATGACACAAAATTATATTAAGTCATTTATGACAATTCCTAATGAAATTCACCTTAGCAACATTCATTTATTTTCTTCCTTTGCCACTTATTCTAGATTATTTTCACTATTGTTTGCACAATATAGCTATTTCACTAATCCTAATTGTTTTTGTTACTTTCTGTATAGCATAATGTTATTGTAAAATAACTCTTAAAGAAATAATAAGTTAGTAATTAAATTTGAGTATCCACTTGGATCTTACATTTCCAATGGGAGACAGCACAATAGCTTAGCCACAACTTTAGAAATTTTACCTTTTTCTTGTTTAATTTGTGGCTCAAGCACATCAATAGGTTAATTTAAATTTGAAATTAGTCTTGACTAATTCATGTGAAGTTTTACAATGAATTGCTTTACGTTGATCAAATTTTTCAATTAAATTCAATATTAAAATGAGAAAAGAAACATACTATACTCGGTACTACGTTAACTATCACTCTAAAAAAAATAGCATTTACTTATTTATAAAAGATAAAAGAAAAAAGATAATTAATATGTACTAATGACCTCGGATGATTGTTGTTTTCGCTAACTTGCTTTTTCTTCTTATTATTGCTTCCAAAAAACTTCTTGTAAAAAAGTGCTAATTATAAAAAGAAAAATCAATTATAACTAAAAACAATCAAAATTAAATAACTAAAAATATAACACAAACCATAAAATAATTAATTGTTCTATATAAAAGTAAAATCATGCAATTTATTCTTTTAAAAACTTTTATTTTAGTTTAAATTAGTTATAAATATTAAGTTTCATTTGTATCCACATTCATCTTTACTTTTGCATTTGCAAACGCAAAATAAGTAATAAAAACAAACGAAGCCAAGAAAGAGACACATTGAAATAAAGAAGGGGCCCTTTCATTTGTTTATAGAATCGAACAATCCTAATTTTTTAAGAGAATTTAGGGGAAGAAGGCTCCTTTTGTCAAGATTACAGTTAATTTCTGATGGTACAGTTATTGGGAGAATTTGTTTATTAGAATTTGCCAATCCTAAGTGGGAACATGAAAGAGGGTGGGTGAAACTTAAAAAAGTAGAAAGAATATGAAAACAAAAAAGAAAGTGAGAGAAACAGAATTAATGAGAATTAGTCATTCACACAGCTCGAGTAACTTCTTATATGGTTGTTTATATATATAAATATATATATATATATATATATATGCACACAACTTCTATTTGCTTGGAAATAAAAAATAAATGAAAATTTTGTATCTACCGGCTTCTTGTCATCTTATGCTGTCTACTGCAACATTTAAGGCAAAACTACTGCAACATTTAAGGCAAAACCAATCGTTCTAGATATTTGGTAACCAAAAGACACAAAACAATGTAAAAATCATTTATGAGGCTCCATAATGAAAGCCATCTTATTAACATTCATTTAACTGCTTCTTAATAATTATTATTATTAACTTGTGAAATTTTAACACTATCTATGTGACCTCAAATCCCTACTCGAGAATATGTTTATTTAATTATTTCACAACTACAATTTATTCACTTTTCCTAACATAACACTTTCATATCTCAACTACCTAAAAGGCAACTTTCTTCTTTTCTTGGCATAATGTAGTGTCATTTAAAACTCAGTGTATGATCTCTTAGAGGCTGTTTCAGTCTAACAAATTAAAATAAGGACTCCATCAATAAGTAAACAAATATTTTTAATAATATAACTGAAATTAATTAAAAATGAAAAAAGTAACATACTCTTCTTTGTTATATAGTATTGACTGATATTAATGGCATTTTGCTTGGATATCTCCTTTACTTAAAAAGAAAAATAATAAAAAATTTGTACATTTATAAACGGGGTTTTGTCATCTTATGGCTGGTCCATGCTGCAAAACTAGTATATAAGCACTGTGTCTATGCAAGTTTTGAAGCACAAGCCAAGGCAAAGCAATACCGAAGGTTGTAGAAATTTGATAACCAAAACTATGATGGCTGCCAATGCTAAATACACAAATGTCCAGTTTACCAACTCTTCTGACCAAATACTAAAGCAAAACGCCGTCACCATTTGGGATGGGCCTCTGGGGTCTGTTGTTCCATTGGTAATTGGCCTTGGGTCACCCGTGGAGTTTAATCAGGTAGGTTCACTTGTAGGTTTTGAGTGCAAATTCGGAGAGACCTACTGTACGTTGATTGTTGCCTGGAGCAACAATGGAGTCTCCAACAAGGTATTGTATTCGTAACATATATAGTCATACAAAACACTGCTTACTAGTTTGAAATAATTAGTTAATTTATATATCAACTGTGCTGTGCGCAGGTGTATGCTCAGATCCTTCCAGCCGGACCCGGTACTCATACTGTTGAATGGGCTCAAATCAGAGCAAAGCTTGAAAAGTCCGGCAGCATATGCGACACTGGTAACCAATTTGGATACAAGTGTACTCTTGAAATTGATCCAAAGAGCGTTACGCCAACGATGAAGGGAACATTTACGACGGTAAAATAAAGAAGGACAGACAAGAGATGAATGGTGAGGCTGTCAAAAATAAGTAATGTGCGTGCTGGGTGCGGTACTGCTACTATTACACTAAATAAATTTGACAGCCAGCAGACCACCAGTACTGCTATCAGTGTCTTCATTAGTAATTATGTAAGCGCTTAGCCTTAGTGTGTGTTTCTTATATGTAAAATAGTTCAGAGTACATCTACCTCTGAATCAATTGAAAAGCCCTTCAAGCCATGTCTATATATGGCTATATGTAATTTTCCATCCTAATATGGAAAAGCTAAAAGGCTTTTAATTATATTATCTGATCATTTAATGTTTGTTTAGTAAGTGTTAAATTATTACTTAAGCCTGCCCAATATTTTAGATATTCTTCAACTAACAAACTATAGCTTCTTGCTGCTTCTCCTACATTTGCCTACTTCATTTCTTTAAATGGTTGCGCTCAAGGGTAACATACACATGCACGAATGGGTTAGATAAGCAATTTCCAAACTTAGAAATCTTCCGAACATAAATACCACATTTTCTTTATAAGTCTCGGTGTGGGGGTAAGAATACCACATGATTAAGTTTGACTAACATGTCACCTTTTCTCCTTTTTGTATGCACCTTTTCCCCTATTTAATTCTTTAATTATAATTAAAATCTTTCAATATTATTTTATCTCAAAACAATAATTATCTTAATAAATATTTTTTATTTTAAGGCGACTTTTGCCTTAAAAAATTATTTATTCATTAAGATAATTTTTTGACTTACCAAAAATAAAATAATATAATTAAGACTTCTCTTGTCTTAAAACATCACATATACTTTTGTTTTAATTAAAACAACTTTTGTCTTCATTAAGACAACATATTTACTATTTCTAAATTGAGACAACTCTTAACTTAATTAAGACAATGTGCAAAGTTACCATTTTTGAACATTTATTTGAATAATTAAACAAAATACACAATCCTACATAAACAAGTAAAATTCTGTGAAGCTAAGTGAAGAATCTATTTGAATGTAGATATTCCAAGCTCCAATAAATATAGAATTATTCTTAATCTCATTAAGATAATTTCTATTTATTAACCATGAAATTACTCCACCATAAATTTATGATTGCACCTTTGGATAAATTACAGTTACAAGAAATGATCTAATATTTAATATTCGATATTTGTTGTCAATTGCAAACCTTATGTTGTGAACCCTCATAACCATCCAATGACAAAAGATGAAATAACTGTTTTCCCTTTTATTTCAATGTTGTCCCTTAATCTGAGATTTCATCTAATTGGTGATCTAATACTTTCGATCTAATCTTTTGAGTATTAAGATATGATGAGTAGCTAACTCATCAATCCACTGGATCTAGATTAATCACCAATCTTCTTGAAATCACTAGAAGTGATGTTAATGCTATTAACTACACTTTTTGGATATATGTTCTTGAATGTTTACCTCAGTTATAATCCCAACGTACGAGTCTAGATCAATGTTTTAAGACGATCATACCCATGGTATATCAAATATTAAAAAGAGATAAAATACAAGTCTACTATCCATCAAGATTTCAATTAAACCATAAGCAAATACGTATGTGTGAGATCAAGGTTTAAGTAACGATTAAATTTAAACTTGATTCTCACGTGATTCCAATTCAAATTATAGTGTCATTATTCGAAGTTAACTATTTCAATGATTTAAAACTTATCATTCCCTTGAAGTGAATCACATTCTTTACGTTAGAAGTAATCTGGACACTCCAGCCTTAATATAATAAAGTGACCAGCTTTTATTATATGGTTGTGAACAATATTTAGATTCAAATAAAGTACATGTATCCTATGTATGAATCTTCATACAAATGTATTATAATATCTCAATAGAATCTTTGCACCTTTATAACTAAATAATAAATGCTTATTGAAAACAACTATTTGTCTTGTTATCAAAATGTACTTTTATTACAAATAAAATAAATAGAATTAAACATGAGAATGTACTTGCTTTCTAGGGCATTATATTCTCAAGTTCCTAACAATCTCCCACTTGTCTCAAACCAAGTATGACATATCAAAAAATGATCTCAACAAGGTATTGTAATTAATGTATATTTTGAATTCGTAAACATAGTCTTCCAACTTTGAAAAAATCAATTAATTTGCTTATTCATCAAACTCTGGTCGTCAGGCTGTCAAAAATAAATAAATAATATTGCAAAAAATTTGATAGCCAGCAGACTTTGGACTGCAGCCAGTGTTTTGATTAATTATGTACTTTTGCTTAGTGCGGATCTGTTATATGTAGTTGAAAAGGCCTTCAAACTGATGCCAATGTCTATATATGGCTATAGTTGGAATATGTCATCATGATATGAAATTTTATTTTATTTTTGAAATGCTATAGTTTCTTTCCTTGTAGGAATTCATCAACGCAGTTGCGGGAGTACAAAAAGACCTGCTCTGCTTTACAAATTAAAAGGGCAGACCTCCAGCAAGCCCTCATACATCATGGGTTAGCACAACGCTCCCTCCCTACCAAGCTCGCCGGAAGCAAGACACACCAAAGCTTTACAAAAGGCACACAGCCACACAAAAAAAGTCCCCATAAACAAATCAGACAGACTCGTGGATATGTAAATATTAATTTATATTAACACTTTAATTGTGTTAATAATCTATGATTTGCTAATTAAAATATAAGATATTAGCAAGTATAACTTGATCCCTGCAAACAAAACCGAAGGGACAAAAACAATTTAAGCCCTCTTTTATGGGAGAGCCTTCCCATTGTTATTACTGTAATGTTTGTAGACATTATTATATAATATATCTACTCAAGCACTTTTAAAATGAAGAAAAATCTCTAAAACTTCAAACATTAATAGAAATTTTTTATTTAAAATTATTTTTCTTTTGTATCATTTTTGGAGCTATTAAATACTTGAAAATTTTTTTCTTTTGACAATATCTGTAGACTTTTTTTGGAACAAAAAGGAAACAAAAATATTATTATATTAATTTATCATTCTAAAAATTTTAATATTCATAAAAACAAAAGTTATTCATAACTAATGAAAATCCCCATATACGAATTTTTGTACTTAAATTGATAAATTAATTAAAGAATTAAACCCTCTTCTTAATTTATTTCTTTTCCTAAAGTTTTACAATTTTTTTTTTGAAAGGCAAAAGGTTTACAATATTAACATAGAAGATTAATATTTCCACCTGCG